ATTAAACAATGACTCAGCTGGATCGCACATTAAAGAGGAAGGTAAGCTTAATATGTACACAACTCGTGTTTGGTTGCTCAACTGAATTCGTCCGCTCTATTATGTCTCTGCTAGATTTAGAAGGATGACTTTTCGGGTACTGTTTATCGCTTTTAATATGTAGTTTCCATCTTTTTTGTTTATACAGATATGAATGTGGTCTTTCCTGCAAATTGCCTTTGGGATCCTTTGGAATAATTACTAATTCTGGCAAAATTAGAAATCGGAGACTGTACTTCGATGGACTGCTTCGATGCATAAGAAGAAATATCATATTTAGAACTTTCATGCCTGCTACGTAAAAACTATACAAGAGACTGATGAATTATAATTGTGGCTGACGCCGTTTTTTCCGAAGGATTAGGTAGGACTTTGCTATAACTAAATACCATAGTGGTTCTGATCGAGGAAATAAGTAGCACTTCCCTTTGTCGTCGCATTAAATAAAGCCATGTTTAAGTCTTACATACTGACGGTTTATGCATTCAAGTATTAGCTTATTTTTCTTTCCTCTCAAATATGCATCTGTTCGCCTGTTACTTTTCTTAAACACCAGGCCAAGATTCCTTGCTTTATTAATTATATTAAATCTAAATTTTTCATTTAAGCTACTTCAATATGATGGCTACATTCTAAACTGTAATGTATATAGTCACAAGTAAACATTAATTTTTTAAGCTACACTATGTCAAATTTTCCACCAAAAGCATGTTAACTTTTAATTGTTGTCTTTAAAAAGAGATTTATGCGGTCCTTTTATTGATTAAATAAATTGCATTGGACCAAAATCTGTTATGTATTCCATTTGATTCACTGGATATTTTAAATGTCTAATTCCTGAGAATACCATGAAACTCCATGGAGATCCATGGAATAATCGATGGAGTAGTTTCTATGGAATTGCATGGAACTTTTCCATGGAATTCCATAGAAAATGTCATAATCCTCCATGGAAAATGTCAATGCAGAAATTTCCATGGAATTCCATGGAAATTGGTGCCCTAATGTTTTCCATGGAATTCCATGGGAAATGTCCTAATCCTCCATGCAAATATTTTCCATGGAAATCTATGGAGAAATTTCCATGAAATTCCATGGAAATTGATGTCCTAATCCTCCATGGAATTCCATGGAGAATTTTCCATGGAATTCCGCGGAATTCCATGGAGGTTTTTCACACGGGATATCTGTATTCTAATTTACAGTGTTTCATAATTCTAACAAAGAGGACTGGAATAATAGTTACTTTAGCATGCCCGAGCAAGGCTGAACCTGTACCAATATCATGGTACTTTTTTGAAATGGGCTATTAATAATTCAGGTCTGTGAAACACTCTACTTTAACTTTATTAAGTTAACTTAGCTTGTTGAACGTGATTATCATACAGATTCTGATAGGTATTTTGAGACCTCTCCGCTGCAGTGTTAGCCTGTTCACAGACCCTCTATTAATTTTTCTCTATACAGATCGTCGAGGGCGCATATGAAAATAAAAGAGGGCAGTACGTGGCCGAGTGGTCAGCCCACTGGTCTTAAAATCCAGTGGTCCAGGATTCAAGACCCGCTCTGGCCACTTGCTGGATTTGTTCTCAGTCATCCCGAATTCAAATCCTTGCCCACGCTTGCATGCAAATAGCCAACTGGTTGCCTCCTGCCCGTTGAGGTTTTTAATCCTGTTATGTTGTATTTGAATTTTTTATTTCCAAGTATTTGAGTGGAGCGCCTGTAAACTAGCTGGGTAACCTAAGTGCACTTTCCATTATAAACAAGGCTTTTAATGAACCTTTAAAGAAAGTGGCAGGGGTTACTGCAGTGTTCACAATCATGTGACCCAAATCAAAGTTGACCTGTTTTGGAGACAAGCTTGTTGAATCCCTATTCAGGCTTGTAAAATAAGTCAGACAACAAATCAGGGTCTTAAAATAATTAACTGGCCTTGTGCTCAGCTGATAATAATAATAAATTCATACATTTATTATTAATGCATGAATTTTGAGCCCTATATTGTTTTTGTGTTGCTCACATTTATTATTTACATGTGTAAGACTGTTCTTGTACCCCCTTCCCCACCCCCACTACAGAACCTGCACATTTAGAGTGGTAGGGAGAAGACAAAGACTTCTTTGTTACTTTTGCTTTTCAAGCAACAAGTAAGTAGTGTTTGCTCCAAAAAAAATGTACAGTGCAAATTGGATTTCATAGCTTCAAAGCTCTTAAACGTCACATGAAAACACCACATTCACAAGAATGTCCTTGTCATGTAACCTATTCATTGCTATCATTTAATGAAAATCATTGACAAAGATACTTGTCAAGGATATTCCTACATATATAGTGGTAAACCTATCATTCCAATGCATGCCATGTATGCCATGGCATGTGGTGGTGTTAACCGAAGGCCTTTTTTTTTGTTTATTCTCATAATATTTCATTTCAGCTGATTTTTTGTAAATTTATGGAAATCTTAGTCTCCTTCGCAGCCATTTTTAGGCTCGTCACGCAACGCTCCTCCCCAGCATTGCGTGAGGAACCTAAAAATGGCTGCGAAGGAGACTAAGGAAATCTTGAAGTGTGAAAAAGTGAACTGAAGCTGATAGGACACAGAAAGTCAAAGTCACAGGTCAAAATTAACTTCAAGTTAAAATTTTTTAACCTGGGTTGATTCTCTGTTTCCTTTGCCTCCTTAAGCCATGAATAATAATTAGGGCTAGGAGGCAAAGAAAATTGGGAATCAACCTAGGTTAAAAAATGATATGCAATTTATGATATGTATAAAGCTGATTCAAGGTTGCTTTGCGCATTGGTAATGGTCCATTGTTTAGTGATCACTCAAGCAAATCATTGCATTGTTCTGTATGCCCAAATCACCACAGCAACCTGTATTGTATTAGGTATATTTGTGTCGCTTCTCGTTCATAAAGTCAGTTAATCACCACAAAATATCTTAAATAGACTGGAGTCTTAAAATATTTTCCTGATTAACAAGGAGGCACTGGAAACATATGGCATAGGCTAACATGTGAATTTTAAAGAGTATTTTTAATACAGTGTGTTGAAGCTGGCTTGTACACTGTATATTTTAACCCCTAAGTGTGACAAGTACCTAATAGCCCTTACAATATTGCAGCCTGTCATCAAACAGAATGGTCATTGGAAATTATAAGCAAAAAAATCGCCAAGCAAAAAAAGCTATTAATAGTACATATTCTTCTGACAACAGTATCAGAAGACCCAACACGTGTCTGTCGAGGAAGGGAAAGCAAAATACTTCTTGATTAAGAGAAGCTATTTTTTAGAAAAACTTTAGGAACTGGCTGGACAATTTGTTTCCAAATTTTCAAGAGGTGAAAGTTGGTAAAGAGTAGGGGTTACCTATATTTTCCCCAGTTGATGGCATCCTGCTTATTTGCCCTAACATTTCCATGAGGATTTTTCCCTTTTCATAATTTTTCAGTCTTCATTCCCAGGATAATTTCGAATAATCCCTCAGTTTGAAGACTGCACATTAGTTGCTTGACGGAAGTTTACTTCATTCAAAATATTAATTCTAGTAAATATTTTAATATTCATATAGAAGTGACTCAACACCGCTCAACACAAAATAGAACATTTTCGACATACTAGACAAAACAAGGAAGCGTTACGTTATATTACATTAATTTTGCTTTCACTTTTAGTTAAATTCCAAGAATCTGATCAGCAATTCAGAAACCGCTTTGTTGTCATCACCTCAGGATTGGAGACCATGTTGAGAATCATGGTGAAACCAAGCTGGTGATATCTCACAGTACATCATCATCTTTCATATTCACACCATCCCCTCCTATTATACGGTAGTCAATGCCATGTCAACGCGTCAGTAATTCAGGGTTTGAGTAAACTCAGTGTCTTTCATGTATAAACATGGGTGAAATTTGCCCTTTGCTTTACTCGGTTTAATGCATGGTTATTAAAAACTGGTTTCCGCCTGTCACATTGCATATCCAATCAGTTCGTTTTGTTTCATCGCCGACACCACAAAAACTCTTAACCGAATAAGGACAGATGGGTCTTGCTTTCAGTAGCGGACATTTCACTTTTAGGTTATAAAGATGCAGAAAAGTTCTTGAGTTTAAGGTAGAAACGCAAAGAGAAGAAAAAAGAATTAGGAGAAAAAAAATTAAAATAGTTCACTAAAGAATGATATAGTCAGAGAGAAGAGTGTAAATTAAAAGAACTTTTGGAAGCGTGACAGAGAAGAGTTCTCGTTGATGGCATGCTTCGAAGGCCTTACCAGCCAGTGCGGCGTATAAGCTGCTGTTATTCCGTCAGAAAAAAAGTGGGAGAAACTCAGCTGTCATCATTTAATATGCAATTTGAATCTTTCTCCAGTCGCCACGCTACCCTGTTTGCTGCTTCAAAACTGAGATAACAAGGACAAGGTATCTTCACATTTTATCTATAGCTCTTTTACTTTTAGCAACAAAAACGTTATTTCGTCCTTTCGAATTTTCTGATCAGGCTCCATGTATATGTTCAGTAATAATAATAATAAAAAATCACATCCAAAATTTTCGGGAAAATAATTCTGAAGCCCTCGTAATTTAGAAAAGACTCAACTTCCCCTAGGATGACGGAACAGATACAAATTTTATTGCACCGCTTAGAATGCCTTTCTAGAGATCTAAAAGTACTCTGGATAGCCTAAAAGGAGTTTTCAATTTATAGAGGAGGAAACCTTCGTTGGGTGTCCCTGGAAAAAGACCTCAGCCCTTTCCAAGTTACGTTATCCATGATGTTACCGTGAGTTGTCACAACTTCTGGAACACAACTTCGTACAATAAAATAACTGAGGCCGATTTCAAAACAATATACAACAATCTCAATTTTTCTTTCGACGACAGATAAATATCACCGGACAATAATCTATCTGAATCTATTGGCAGGGAAAACCTTCATCAGCAGTTCGTCAATCTTCAAGCATGGCGAGAAGTCCAATCACAGCTTCGAAAGAAGGTGAAGCCACATTAGCTGCTGAGGAAATACTGCACTTTGATGATGACAATTTAAGAGGTGAGGAACAACATGCTGTTTCCTTATCATGTCGACAGCGGATAACTTTCGCCCGGCTAACGCCCTTAGTTATCTATTTTTTAGGATGTGGGAGTAATTATAATATTGAAATTAAGCCATTTTATTCAATTTTCGTAAAAGATATGCTTACGATGTCTTAATTTCATCTCAGCAGTTGCAGAAGTTAAAGAAGGAATGATAAAAACACAGAAAATAGACCATTTTCATGTTTAATTTTTTCAATTTTTTTTTTTTAATTCATACGTGGCTCCAAGGCTTGGGGGCTGCCTCGTACCCAGACGTCTCTCTCGATGTGCGCGCAAAGGAAGGCGGGAAGGAGACAACCTTCCCATGGTCCCTTGCGGTTCATCACCAGTCACTCGTTTCGCGCTCGCCTCTGCCATCTCTGCCATGCGAAAAACGAAGCGCCTGAGGAGGAGGCTGGCTTGGGGGAATAAAACAAAAGAAATGTACTATTCATTGCTAAGCCTCAAGATGATTTCTTTGCTTTATCGGCCCCCAAGCCTCGCTGCCAAGTAAGAATTTTAATATATCGGAATAATGTATTCGCAAGTGAAACAAATACGACTTAATATCACGCAAGTTCTACTTCAAAATGCACTGACTAAAATAATTGTAATTTGGTATGTCATATTGTACGGTTTGCCTAACAGCTAGTCTTCTCTTAAAGCTCCAGGGAATTCAAAACGCATGTGCTCGCTAGGTATATTCAGTGCCTAAATTCTGTCACTTCAGGCCAATATGACGGGATTTGCACTGGCTACCTGTAAGGCAAACCATCGATTTTAAGGGAATTTTAATTAGTTCTAAGATTTTAAATAACGCGGCTCCTACTTTCTTCTCTTATTTGTGTGATGGATCCTTACTCCGCTTTCCTCCAGTGAAATCATTGCAAAGACCCTTGGTAATTGCGCTCTTAAGTTCGCTGCCCCAAAGTTGTGGAACAATCTACTACATGACATAAGGACGACCACGAGTCTATCATGTTTTAAAATGAAACTGAAAATATTTTTATTGTCCCAAGTTTTTTCATAACAGGGTTCTTAATTTTCACTGGTATGCACTTATGAAATTATTACTATTATTATTGATATTTTTATAACTTCTGTGAAGCTAGACAGCGAGCAGTTTCTTATTTTTCTTTTGAGCCCGGAGTAGTCAATCGATAAAAATCACTGGATTGCTAACTATTTTCATCGATTTCGATTTTTATCTATTGGCTACTCCGTGATGCAACTACACCCGGAACTACACCGCAGGGTGGCAGGTCTAAATAGTGAAAAACTGGGCGTGATTAAATCTGGCCAATATCAGCCACCAGGAGAAGATTTTAAACCCAGTTTTAAACAAAAGATAACATTTTTTTCAAAGAAAGTGAGTGTAATTGTTTGATCCTTCGACTTCTCAATTGCAAATCAATTGTCGATAAATTTACCGTTTTCATGAATTCAGTTTTTATTTTTTTATGAGCAGATGGACTGAAGTATTTCCCGATTTAAATCGATGAAATCGGTGAAAATCAAGATAAATCGATGAACCAAACGAGTGTGTTATCGATTTCTACCGATTGATCGATACAATCGATATCAATCAAATCAGATTCACCGATTCTTATCGATTTATCCATTGACTACTCCGGGTGTTGAGTTACAGCGGCGAAGCCGCGAGGAGCGAGGGCGGAAGCCCGAGCGAAGAAAAAATAAGAGTCCTCTCTCCACCCCAATCTCTCCTCCTTTTTACCATTAATTTACGTAATTTCACTATTTCGCTCACTGCACGTGGGGAAGAAGGACGACCGCTCGCGGTCTACTGTGGAGCGCAATTGAGCATTCATATGAAAATTGCGCTATGTAAGTGACAACTATTATTATTATTATTATTATTATTATTATTATTATTATTATTATTATTATTATTATTATTATTTATTGTAGCAATCGCTGAGGTCTACAAAAATGAAGGCAACGATGAGTACAAGAAGAACAATTTTAACAACGCCATTCAATTCTACACGGAGGGAATTGAAGTGAACTGTAAAGATGAAGAACTGAACGCCATACTGTACAGCAACAGGGCAGCGGCACGTTTTAATTTGGGTGAGAAGTTGCTGTTAGTTGTTTTAGATATCATTAATTTCTTTTTGCCTATCGGATCGTTTTGGTGGCGGGGAGTGTAACAACTGCTATAAATATTAGCAGTGATTATGTGACTACTGTGGTGAAATGGTTCTATCGTCTTTTTGCATTCATTCTTTCACAGGTAATTACACTGAAATATTGGATGATGCAAAAATTGCCGTGGGCTTACGACCATCTTTCTTGAAAGCTTTTGTGCGAGGTAAGTTAGCTATAGTCCCGTCGTCAAAATTCAGTGTCGAATCCAAGGGGGGTCGTTGGGGTGTGGATCCCCCCAATATATCTGACTCATCAAGTATTAAGCCAACTAGCTGCTATGAAACTGACACAGTTACCCCTCAGTGGTCCTGCATTTGCACTTACAACTTCCATTTCGTGGCTGAGAAACAGAACTTGGTTGTTCATGTTGCCTTTTAACCATGGGACACTTGATCAGTATTAATTAAATCTGAACAGAGAAAGTTCATCATTTACCAATTTTGACATAAGAGGCGATTGATTTTTATGAGTACAATGTTTCGTGTTCACATGTACTGTTGTAAAAAAAAACAATGTGTAACGACGTTGAAGGATGGAAATTATTGGCTTCACCAGGGTGTTCAGGTTGGACCCTCCTGAGCAAAAATACCTGGATCCGCCCCTGAAATTTCTTTCCAAGGATGATAAGACATTAAAAAGGTTGTGGCTAACCAAATGGGCTGCAACCACGGCAACCGAATGTTTCAGCACAATATCAAAAATTTCCGAACTTTCTCAAACTTACTCTGTTCTTCTAACGCACCAGTCAACCTATGGAAGAACCACTCTACATCTGCGAGTAGTTAACGATCTCCTCATTTCCCGTCTCGCCTTGACAACAAACGTGATGTTCTTGTAGTACTGTTTTAACGTTCAGCTGCAGCTGTATTTACTATGATTTTTTGACTCTCTGATCGGTCTGGTGTACAACAGGTTAAGTCAGCTTATATCTCTTCTCTATCAGAAGCTTTCACTGCCACTGTTTATAACATGGTAGCATGGGATATCATAATGCAATGTTTGTAAACCTACGCAGTTGTCGCTACAAAAAAATGCGCAGTAGATGTAATGTTGGCTGTGCAATTGTCCTATCCTGGACTGTTCCATGTACATGATTTTTTTTCGCCGTTGTTTCCGCTTGCCTTTCATCGCCCACACAAATTTTCAAATAGTCCTTCCCTTGATACTACAAACAAGATAATCAGCATTAGATGCATCAAATGTGTTGGTGCTAAGCTACACTTGTTGTATTTACAGGTGCAAGTGCCTGCGTTCAGTTGAAAAAGTTTGACGAAGCCATCACTTGGTGTGATAAGGATTAGCAGTATCCTTTCCTAAAGTTGATAGAATAATTTTCATTTGGAGTCAATTTCCCTGACCAAGAGTTCTCTTTGAATCCTGAGCACAGGCGCGGCCGCCCGTTTAAGAGAGAACACCGCGTGTCCACCGCCCATTCCCTAGGATTCAAAAAAAACGCTCGGTTACCAAGACTTAACGAAACTGAATCAAAAGAAAGTGTATTTCTAGGCTCTGGTACAAGAAACTGTATATGGTCGTATATGGGAGAATTAACCAGAAGACAAAGACTACTTCCATGTGAGAATGCAACTTTATGACACAAAAATTCAGCAAATTTTCAACCCGGTTCGGTCGGAATCATGGCATCATAATACCAGTTTCAAGGATGGCTCAATTTTATGTTGTCCAGTAATTGTGTTAATTATGGGACCGAGATCTCCACATACCGTACTAGCTCGGCTCATGAAATCAGCCCCTTTGTTACCAAAGTTACAGTTTCTTATAAAAAATGACCAGAAACCAGAGTATCTTTCATGTGCGAGGTCACGAGCAAGTTGCCAGTACAGATTTCCCCTTTTTTGTATTATGACTATCCTCTCTTACACGAGGTTCCCTCAGGCAAGAAAATGTATCTCCTTCACAAATTAGCAAACTTAATTTTGATAATCGGGAGGCTGCTACACAAAAAATTATTATTATAAAGTAATTTGCAATCAGAGACACTATTGGGGTTATATGACTAATAAGAAATACTATATTTCAAGTTGGGTAGCTTTGCAATTTGTTTATTTAATATATGACAGTTAACTGAACAATTTAACTAATGAAAGATTGACCCGAATAACCATAAGTTGTTGGGAATTCGGAGCTGGTCTATGAAAGAAAATAGCAAACTGCAAGGAAGCCACCAAGAAAAGGTAAGGATGAAAAAAAAATTAAATTTATACTTCGTTATAGGTAACAATAACAACAACAACAACTTTATTCTTTGTACAAAAATACAAAACTTGAATAGTTTGCCCCGCAATTTGCGGAGAACTCTTTTAAAAGCTTCTTTGGAAGATCCGTTATCTAGGTTGGTATCTTATTCCACAGCTTTACTCCGAGCCGAGAGAAAGAATTGTTTTGTATTTCTAGTCTAGAACTTTTAACATAGAACTTTCCAGACTTAGACGATCGTGTATTGTATGAGTGAATATTACACGTTTTCTGAAATAAATTTAACATGTTTGCTGGGGCTTTATCATTATTGATATCGTGCATTAAGGTTGATACGGACTCATAATAAAGAAAAGTTATTGGAAGCACGTTAGCTTCGAGAAATAAAGGAATTACATGGTCATGCCAGTCTGCGAAGTACAGCAAACGAAGAGCTCTTTTCTGAAGAATTAGAATTTTATTAAGATAAGTCTTGCATGCCCGACCCCAGGCAGCAAGCTAAGGCCATAGGTTAAATATAGTCAGTGGCCGATCCAGACTAGTATTGGTCGAGGTACAGGGTGGCGTAGCTTTTCAATTAGCCCAACATTTTTATTAATTTTTGTAACTACAGAATCAATGTAGTATTTCCGAGAGAGATTCCGATCAATAAGAACGCCCAGGTATTTTGGTTCAACTTTAGACTCGAGACGAGCATATTTATTCTTTTCATTATCAAACATGCAAAGTTTTGATAGGTAAGCAAGTCGCGTTTGGTAAGGATGGAAAATTACAAATTTGGATATATTAATGTTAAGAGTTTGTTTTTTGCCTGTCAACCAGTTATAAAGGTTTTGTAGCACATTGTTGACTATTGTCTTAAGATCTTTCAGAGTTTTGTCCGCATAGAAAATGTTAGTGTCGTCTGCAAAGAACAAAAACCTAAATTTATTCGAGCACCTGTGGATATCATTGACATAGTGCAAGAAAAGCAATGGTTCAAGAATTGATCCTTGAGGAACACCACATCCAACGACGGCTTTATCTGATATATGATAGCCTACCTGCGTTGTTTGGGTGCGATTTTTGAGATATGAGGAGAACCAATCATTAATTATTCCACGAAAGCCATAGTGATTGAGCTTATCAAGCAAAATGTGGCGATTGACGGTGTCGAAGGCTTTTTTAAGATCAAGGAATACTCGACAAGATGTCAATCGCTGATTCATGTCTGTCTGTATATCATTAACAATGTCCAGTATTGCGTGTTGGGTTGACTGCCCCTTACGAGAGCCGTATTCTTAGGAATACAGAAGATCGTGTTTCTTTATATAGCTCGTCAATCTGTAAATAATTTTCTCAAATACTATTAAAATTTGAAAGTAAAGAGATAGGTCTGTAGTTCTTTGCTTCCGTATCATCGTCACTCTTAAATACTGGCGTAATTTTTGTAATTTTGAGTTTTGATGGATAAGTCCTTAATTTGATGGATGTATTAAGTATCTCTGTAAGGACAGGAGTTATGACGGCACTTGAACATTTGAGTAGTTTGGTAGAGAGGAGCATAAACCATAAGATTTATCATTATACGTTACAAGTAATATTTCTGACGGTAATTCTTCTGGTAAAACAGGTTGAAAAAGGAAGGATGAAATTGTTTAAGAGAGATCAAAATATCCTGGTTTATTTGAGATGATTCACACTTGCGTAGATCTATATTAAAGTCACACACGGTATGAACGTCCTTGTCATATGAGACCATTTTTCTATTGTCTTATCTAGATACGTTAGGAAATAATCCGGCGAATTGTGCTGAGGATAAATTTTTCCACAAACGATGCTTTTGTGGTTGAAAAAAGAGATTTCAACCCAGAGGGCTTGGAATGCTTCATTTGAAGTTTTTTCAAGAACGTTGTAGTTTAGAGATTGATCAACAAAGAGGCCAGTGTCTCCAGAGGCCAGTGGTGTTGGCACATGCTCAAAAACATAACCTGCAATGCTCGGATAGGCGTTACTCTCATTAGAATTTGTAATTTTTGTTTCCGAAATACCAATTATATCAAAGTAGAAATCAAGTTCATCTTATAACAATTCTACATTTTCTAGTTTGCGGTTGATGCTCACAATATTGTTATGAAAGATGGGAAAACTAGACTTAACCGTGTTTTCAGGGAGTTTTTCCTTAAACATTTTGAGGCTATGCGGGGAAAAGTATCGGCTTTGGATGCAGCCAGTGTCCACTGCCTTGGATACCCAGCAATCAGTTTCGAACAGTGAAACAAACACTTGCAAAGGCGTCTCTGCACACGTAGCTGGGCCAACTACTCAAGGAACGTATCTTTTATCTTAGGCGTTAATCAAAGGCTTCATCCTCATGTTTACATTAACAAACACAGACATTTTTGGACTTGTTAGCTGGTCGGCTTTACTTTCTAATTGAAACTCGACAACTGAATCAAATTCCTTTCATTTGCATTTCTAGATCTATATATGAAGTAAGTGATTGTATCTTTCATGTTCTGTACATTAATTTTAATACGTTTCAAAGTAAGATAGCCAGTTCCCTCGATTTTAAATTTTTATTACGTGGTAAACATTATAAGTAGAAACAGAAAAAGTCCTGGAGATATTCAGTCAGAAAAAAATTGCTCGATACAAATAAAGGCATGAAAATTGAGAAATCGTCGGAAAGGCCAAAGAGAAGCCTCACGTTGATTCCCCTAAATCGAAAATTCCCTTCTTTTAAGGTTCCTGACAGGTTAGTACTACAATTGTAGGTATACTAGGTGCAAGAAATTTTCTATCTTTGCCCTCCCCAGTCTAGAACCACGAACCCTTTGCATTCATCCCTTTATTAAATAATATCTCAGATAGAGGCGTTTATTCTTATAAATTTGACTAGCAAAAAAAACCTTTTAGCGAAAATGTCAAATCAAATTGCAGAATATCCAGTTCACCCATTGATACTTATAGAGAAGAGGCCCATATCGCCCTCAGTCAAATCGCAGTGTCAGAATACTCGTTCAGGGTCATTGTGTTGTAATAGTTAGCCTATTCTCATTTTAAACATGACATTGAGCAAGATTTAATGCGCAAACCCTTGATAATCAAGCAAGAAGCTGAAAAATTGTAGCGCCTTAAGTAAAAACTTAAAACTATAACAAGGAGACGTTTATAAGTCAGGAGACGTATATAATTGAGTGTGGGCGTCAATTAGATCATTTTCAGCACTCAACCATGATCTCTCTGTAAATCTTAGCAAAGAAGACAAACGCGTGACTGCGGGGTTTTGCCTCCGCTACAATAGGCAGCTGATTTAGCAACAGAACGGGAACGTTATTTTGTGACCTCGCGCTGCGAAACTACCGATAAGAAACTGGGGCGAGAATGCCGTCGTGTTATTGATGATTTAGCAAGCATTCATGACGCCGTCACGTTCGTTCTGGAATATTCACAAATCCGTAGAGATCGTACATGTATAAATATTCGGGTTCACAGGATAGCTATAAGGACTGCGAACTTATTTTCTCTGCATGCACTAAGACAAGGAAAAGCAAGGATGATTACGCGACAGGATTGAATCAAGTAAGATAAAATATGTCGAGTGCTTATGAATGACCTTGAGTGTCATTCACTTAAGCTTCCTAAGTGTTATGGCTCAAAGTAGAATTAATTCTACTTTGGTTTATGCCTGTAGAATGACCTTACCAAATCATAAGCCATTAAATCAGTTTTGGTCAATTTTGTGTGGCGGTCGTCATGTTTTCGTGTATCTTTGTGTCGTGACACAGGGTTCGTCATGTCAAACTTTTAAGCTTACATCTTCAGTAGTACAATAAGAACACACACGCCATGCAAGCCAAACGAAGCACGGATTTGCGATCAAACAGGGCGGCCTCAAGCCTTCTCTTTGACAAAACATGTATTTCTTTCAATAAAAGAGCTCCGCCCGACTGTGGTTAACCGGACTGCGTAAGTTACGTTAAGTAAATCACCATTATACGTGAAGGGAATCTTTCCCTTTAGAGGCCGGTTGCCACATATCGAAATGCGACTGCTAAAAGTACATGTTCCAAAGTTTCTATCACCGTTATTTTTCGCATCTCTATGCCTTCAACTCTTGACTGTTCCCTCACAACCAAAAATGTTTACTATAATCGGTAGCTTCTCCGACTTCTGTTTTTGGCTTATTCCTCTTCAATGACTTTCAAAACAAAAGTAAAGCGATGAGCGGAAGTAAAAACAGCGTGGTGAGAATTTCTACCGATTTCTGGCTAATTACCGCACTTGTGACCATCACGTACACGGTACACTGTTGTTTAATTTATAGAGTTCAACAGGTCAGATCCTAACGCTACAAACTCTGATGGTAAATAAACTCACAGACCGCATTATGACACCATTTTATAGTGCGACTTCTCGATCTGGAGCACTTGGAAGAAGATTATCCAATCACAATCACAACGTTTTTTGAAAACAAAAGACACTCAAGTTTTTTTGTAAACTGACCAGTAAAATACAAATACTATGCAACCGTTGAAAACTTTAAAACCGTTTGAACTTTCCTGACCTCTCAGAAAACAGCCCTCAAATTTATGAACGTTATTGGTCCGTTTGCAAAAAGAATAGTTTGGCGTTTATTTCCACGTGATTTTATAAATTGTACATGACTTGTTCTACAGGAAACGTGCACGAAGGCGACAAACACGGCTGCTGAGAACATCAGCAATTTTGGTAATGCCTATCATAGTCTGGAAGATTTCAAAACAGCCATAGATTACCATGAGCGTCACCTGAAAATTGCCAAAGAACTGGGTGATAGAACGAAAGAAGGCAGAGCGTATGACGATCTTGGCATTGCCCATCACATTAGGGGAGATTTTAAAGCAGCCAAAGACTACCATGAACGTCACCTAAAAATTGCCAACGAATTGGGGGACAGACTGGGAGAAGGAAGAGCGTTTGGAAATCTTGGCAACGCCCATCACAGACTCGGAGATTTCAAAACAGCCTTACACTTCCATGAACGTCATCTGAAAATTGCGAAAGAATTGGATGACAGATCGGGAGAAGGAAAAGCGTATGGCAATCTCGGCAACGTCTATCAAAGTCTGGGAGATTTAAAAACAGCAATTAAGTACCACGAACTTCACCTAAAAATTGCCGAAGAATTGGGTGACCGATCGGGAGAAGGAAGAGCGTATGGAAATCTTGGCAACGCCTATCACAGTCTGGGAGATTTTAAAAGAGCAGTAGACTACCATAAACGTGACCTGAAAATTGCAAAAGAATTAGGTGACAGATCCGGAGAAGGACAGGCGTATTGCAGTCTTGGCAACGCTTATCGACATCTGGGAGATTTTAAAACGGCATTAAGTTACCATGAGAATGACTTGAAAATTGTGGAAGAATTGGGGGGCAGATCGGGGAAAGGAAGAGCGTATAGCAATCTTGGCAACGCCTATCTCAGGCTGGGAGATTTTGAAACAGCATTAGCCTACCATGAACGTAGTCTGGAAATTGCGAAAGAATTTGGTGACAGACCCGGAGAAGGAATAGCGTACGGAAATCTTGGCAACGCTCATAAAAGTCTGGGAAATATTAAAACAGCTATAGACTGCTATGAACGTCTTCTGAATACTTCGAAAAAATTGGGGGACAGATCCGGAGAAGGAAAAGCGTATAGCAATCTTGGCAACACCGAGCAAAGTTTGGGAGATTTTAAAAGCGCCATAGCCTACCATGAACATCACCTCAAAATTGCAAAAGAACTAAATGATAGGTCCGGAGAGGGAGCTGCGTATTGCAATCTGTGTAACGCTTATGACAGTCTGGGAGATTTCAAAACAGCCATAAACTACTATGAACGTCACCTGAAAATTGAGAAACAATTGGGTGACAGATCCGGAGAAGGAAAAGCTTATGGCAACCTTGGCAACGTTTATTACAGTCTGGGAAATTTTAAAACAGCAAGTGACTACCATAAGCGTGACCTGAATATTGCGCAAGCATTGGGTGACAGATTGGGCGAAGAAAGAGCGTATGGAAATCTTGGAAACACTCATCATAGTCTGGGAGACTATGTAACAGCCATAGAATACCATGCGCGTGCGCTAAACATTGCCAAAGAACTAGGTGACACACCCGGAGAAGGAGTAGCTCATGGCAATCTTGGCAACGCTTATCAAAGTCTGGGAGACTTTAAAACAGCCATAGACTACCATAAAAGTGTTTTGAAGATTGCGAAAGCATTGGGTGACAGATCTTTAGAGGAAAAGGCGTATTGCGATCTTGGTAATGCCCATTATAGTCTGGAAGATTTTAAAACAGCCATAGACTACCATAAACGTTGCATGAAAACTGCGAAAGAACTGGGTGACACCTTGGGAGAGGGAGTAACGTGTTCCAATCTTGGGAAATGTTTTGAAATTCTAGGCCAAGTTCCAGTGGCTATTGAATATTATCAGCTAGGAATCACTTTGTTTAATAATATCAGAGATCACCTTGAATTGAACGACGAGTGGAAAATAAGTTTACGTGATAATTACCCGATAGTATACACTTCACTTTGGCGTTTGTTGTTAGCAGAAGGCAAAGTTACAGAGGCTCTGTTTTCAGCCGAGCAAGGACGAGCACAAGGCCTAAAAGACCTTCTTGAATTAAATTATGCCTTGAAAAGGAGTGATGTCGAAAGGAGTGATGCTAGATCAGGTACAGGAAGCAAATCAGTAAATGACCTGCTTAGTTACCCTTCTCCAAATACATTTTTTATCGCATTTGGAGAGAACGAATTAAACATCTGGGTCTACCAAAGGGGAAAGGATGTTGAATTAAAAACGAAACAAATCGATTCGCCGGATGAAGTCAACATTTTCTTTATGGATCTTTTACAAGTTCTGCACCTGGAAACTGGTACCAGAAGTCTTTTCAAGTGCGAAGATCGATCACTTGAATTGGCGAGGGATGAAAGCCTTGTAGCTAAGAGATCGCCTCAGTATGGCAGAGAGACCCAAAACTTAGGCCTTACAAAAGACGCCTTAAGCACATTGTATGAAATCATGATTGAGCCTATTCAAGATCTGTTTTTAGGTAGCGAACTCATCTTCATCCGTGAGGGTCCACTTTGCTTGGCCCCTTTTGCTGCATTCAAGGGCCCAGATTCCAAGTACTTATGTGAATCATTCAAAATTCGCGTGGCTCCATCCCTCACCAGCTTGAAAATGATTGAGGACTGTCAGGTAGATTACCCTCACAAGTCAGGTGCACTTCTTGTGGGTGATCCTTTGACAGAGCGTCCACCGCTACCATGTGCAAGGGAGGAAGTAGAAATGATTGGCAGAATGCTTGGCATCACACCTGTACTTGGAACACAGGCCACAAAGGATGAGGTTTTAACCCGACTCGGTTCTGTTGCCTTGGTGCACATCGCTGCACATGGCAATATGGAAACGGGCGAGATTGCTCTAGCGTCAACAGAAGGTGTGAAAGAGAACATTTTGACAATGAGAGATGTACTGGGTGTTCAGATGCGAGCAAGACTAGTTGTACTCAGTTGCTGTCACAGTGCTCGTGGGGAGATCAAAGCCGAGGGTGTGGTCGGTATAGCACGGGCATTTTTGGGTGCTGGTGCTCGTTCTGTTCTTGTGTCGTTATGGGCAATCGATGATGAAGCCACTTTAGAATTCATGAAAAATTTGTATCAGCATCTTGTTAAAGGGATAAGTGCTAGTGAATCCTTGAATCAAACAATGAACTGTATGAGAGAATCTGAGGAGTTTAATGAAGTCAAGTATTGGGCACCATTCGTGCTTATTGGTGATGACGTCACATTGGAATTTGCTGGGAACGAATAGAAAACCCACAATGCCGAGGTAACGTCATAAATCTTGTAATTTATGAACAATATTTTGACAAGCTTTTCTTTCAATGTGTAGAGTTAATTCAAATAGACTTTCATCTGTACTACTCAAACTCATTAATAATTCATAAAGAAAATACAAAGGAAGTTAATGTTTAATGGATGTTTGGAAATAAGATGAAAAGCTGCTGATTTTTGCATCCTTGATTTCTCCTTCTAAAGTCATTTCGTTTGAGAAGTAATATCAAGCAGTTGACACACAATGTTTCATCACCAGATGAAACACCTCGAAGTTCGTCAAAAATACCCCGCCGTGCGTCGTATTTTCAACTCTCCTCTCAGTGTTTCATCTGGTGATGAAACACTGCGTCTTATGCTTGATATATTATATCCTATTCTCTGTTATTCACCATTTTCACAAAGACAATAATTCACCTTGTTTACACCCACCCCCACCCCTTCCAAATTTTCCGCAAACATTCTTTCCAAATTCTCGTGGGTGTTACAGTCGTCCTAAGAGAAAGCGAAGGCAATAGTTATGCAAAATTTAGGGAGGTAAATATGGAAAATGGTGAATTACAATAAGTTAAACACCCAAAAGTGCCACCAAGTGAACACGAGCCAAAATAAACAGGAAAATAAATTAGTAGCGCTAGATAGCTTACACTTGGAGTTGTAGGTTATGTGACAGCACTCTAATTGTAACTGAGTAAAACTGGGATGAAAGTCATGACACCAAGTTGCCCCCCCTGTATTACAATATAAAGCCGTCATGTCTTTATGATATTTTTTGCCTTTTTAACCAAAGGACTCCTTTAGTTTACCATTGTAAAGCTACTTTTGGAAACGTACGTCTATGTTTAAAGCTTATTCGCAATTTTTAACTAAAATTATTTCTAACTGGGCAACTGACCATAAAAACGTTCCTCTTCATTTTTAATTGAAATTACAATGAGCAATGTAGATTGGCTTCATATCGCTGTATGTCCTCTCATCAAGATAATAACTTGCGAAAAGTGTTACTGTATGACCATACATCTTGAAAGGACCTGGCGTGGTCTCGCGATCTGATAGCTAATATTTTGCAATATTTTTATTTTTGCAGTTCACTGATGTAAGTTTTGAAAGCCATCCGCTGTTTCTTGGCATACTCTTTTAGCTGATTGTTTCAGAGGGCGCAGCATTACCACGACAGATATTGACACTAATAGAAAAGTAAGGATTCCAAAACAGCGCCAGAAACTGAGCCAGGTTCTAAAGGTTGCTTTTTATGTCTTCCTTAGTAGTTGCGAATAACGGATTTGCAGTACTGTTCGAAGCACCAACGAAGAACCACGTATACAGTATCGGATAAACCTAATTTGCTCACTTTTCTTTAAGTTCAACCGTAGCAAAGACGTTTACAAACTCATTTCTAGTTTTACTTTTCTTTAGGCTTAGACATTTATGTATATTTTTAGCGTTCATTTTAAAGTGACGAGAAAATATTATAATGTTTCTCGTTTTAGTTACCATTTAACGTACTGCAACAGTTTTGTAAACGGATTAGGTATAAAGAGGAGGAGTACTGCGGAATGACTCGTGGCATGCCATAAAGAATGGTATAAATTTCTTCTATATTATGCGTTTAGGGTTAAGGCTCATTTATTTCTACATTATGTCAAGAAACCTATTTTGCATCCAACAAGCCTCTCACGTTTTTGTAAGAAGTTAAGAAGGGTTAGATACATTATGCCCGAAAAATTGGGCATTATGCTTTTCAGCGTCACCCGCAAAATAACAGCATTATGCCTTGATCACGGATCCTCATTCGTCGCTTACGGAAACGAAATCGAGTCGAAAGCAGTCCAGTTTCCTGGCCGAGATGCCCTGATAAAATCAGTGGGGGCGGGTAATCGGCAGTCGCCCCCGATAACTCGAAAATTTGTGGCTTTGTACCGCAGGAACACTAAGGTTTGGATGCGATTATGCTCGAACAGTAGCATTATGCTCGACAGATCTTGGCTAAATTTGATACCCTTTTCCTTGCCTGCAGAAAGAAAAATCTTCTATAAACCAGAAACACAATATGTTATCGTATCAATTACAAATTTACAAGAAATATACGACGAATAATGCTCAAAAGCACTCAAAATGTCTCCTTTTAATGGAACTGTTACTCTCCATCTTAGCCGGATACTCTCTGATTATTAATGATGCAAACGGCGCAACCAGGCCTTGAAAGTAGCAACCAAGCCTTTGAATATGTTACTTTCTTACTTAAGTCAATTGACAGTGAAAATTTCTCATTACATTCATGGAAACATTTTAAAATTTCCTCAATGTTATTCATCTATTTATGCTAAAAAAAAAATGCCTATTATGCCGGCATTACGCTCGATGCTCCGATTATACCATTATGCCCAAAATTATGCCGGCATAATGCGTCTAACCTTAAAGTTGAGGCGATTCTATGACGTATGTAAAATTAAGCCGAAATTTACCCGGTTTTTGTTCATAAAAGCTCAGTTGCAGCTTGATAATTCGATTAGCCATTTTATGATCAAGTTTCATAAACGCCTATTCTTAGCCAACACGTTTAATTCAATGAAAAAGTTGTGAGCAGACCATATTTCCCTGTTTTGTTTGTACCAGGGTTTTTCTCTTTCGTGAACGCTACTACGACTATATATAATAGTGGTAAACAATGGCCGTGGGGACGGTTATGCAGACTGTCGCTGACCAGCACCACTGAGGCGCAAATGCTTCGGAAATCGGGCGCGCGTTCTTTTGGCGATTTGGCGGGAGGAAGAGATTGCCTATGTTGCTGGATTTTTCCTCAAGGATATTCGAAATTTAAAAGGTAAAGTCGATGTATTTTGCTTTGTATATCGTGCTTCTACTGCCACATCTATGTTATAACCGGGAATAAACTACATTTGCATCCATCTTTACATTTGTAGCATGTATGTGCACGCGTGTCGCGTGCGTATGGTAGTGATCCAGCTGAAAAAAGCCTTGTTGAAAAATTTAAGTGGCCTTAATTTATTGGTATTTGGTGCTAATTTATTGGTATTTGGTGCTAATTTATTGGTATTTGGGAGAAGTAGCTCAAGATTAATTGCTTGAGTAATTTATACTTCCTCTGGCGCTATATTGACATATTGAGCGTAATACCTGTACATGTACCATTGATTTTGACAGGGGTAGGGTGGAGCCTTTATTTTATATGCCTTACTGTCATTTTATTCTGTTTTGTTTTGTCATGTTTTCATATACAAGGTCGTTTTGTTTATAATAATTTATAATGATACAGCTGTACATGTAAGCTGAGTCCAAAGGTCAAAAATGCTAAAATGTGCCACATGTGTATTTATAATGTTCATAAAGATAATGCATGGCAACACAAGTAACACAATTCATTTAATTTCACAATATTTTCAATAAAGGTAGAATTACCAGTTATTTTTAGTGGGTTTAGTGACTTTTTTGTACATTTGTTTCAGATTTTTCCTTAAATGGTACAGGAGTTATTTCCAATGTTCTTGAAATTGAGTTGCATCACCTGAACTCTCTAAGAGATAAAGAGGTCAATGAAATACAGGTTCAACATGAGGAAGCCTTTTGTGGTCTGTGCATGAAGAAATGCTACAGGGGTATTCCAGTGGGTCTCAATTTATTTACAGTAATCATTTTTTCCTCTTCAGAAGATAACAGAAGTGAAGCTTATATACTGAATTCTCCCATACATCAATACCCCATCTGTTTGGGGTAAATGTCACAAAAAAGAAACCTCACGTGTACTTCCTTGTGTTATATTTTTAGCATCTTTAGAATATTATTTTTCTTGTACTTTGTGCCGTGCCCTGCTAAGTAAATCCATGTCCCTTTCACAGTGTTCTGCAGGAAACATAATGTACTGAAATTGTGTGAAGCTATAGAACATTTGCACTCGTAGAGGTTTCCCCACAGAGATATAAAGAGTGACAACATTATTCCTACAGAGGTAAACAATATGTACCACCCAATGCTCATTGATTTTGGAAAGGCTATCTTGCTATCGGATGCCCCATCAAAACAGCAGTCCATGACTGCTCACTAGCACTGACATATAGCTTCAGAAATATGCCTCAGATATTATGTTTTCACTTGGCGTTAATAAGTCATGGCAAAAGTTAGTGGCAAAGTGAAAGTAGAAAGTCATTTTGTGGAAGGGCAAAGAAAATGCCTTCAGACAGATCCAAAGTTGAGATTTACTATTTCATGTCTTCTGTCACTGCTCAAACCAAATTTTTAGCTGGAACCTTTTTTCTGTCCAGCAATTATAAAAAATCATATTCCTATTTAAAAAGGAAAATCAAAAAGTTATCTTACTGTGTGAATTCCTATACTAAATAAATCTAGTAAAATTCGACTCATTTAGTGAAAAGGGTATAATAATATTGAAGGTGTAAACCCCGTTGGTCTAAGAAGTTAAGGTTTAAGTGAAGAAATGCACCATGTTAATGTTGTTGAGTGAAGGCTGATATTAATTTCACCAGTCTGTTTGATCAGTTTAAAAAGACAAATCATATTGAACTCAAAATCAGGGTTGTAAAGAGCAGCAAAGAAATTGTTTGTTCATGTCTGTGCTAGTTTCTATTCACAAATTATATGAAATACAAAGCAATTTCACCATTTGTTGTATTATTGGCTGTTTGGCTTTCAAAATGTGGTCATTTTTAGGAGGCTCACCATCAAGATGTGGTCATCTTTAGGTGTAGTCAGTGAAAACTAGAACAAATAGCGGTGAGAACAAAATTGTCGGTTTTGATGTGAAGTTCCTTGAATAAATGGCCATGAGGAAATTGTGTACAAGTGAATAATCTCAACCCTGACTTTGAAATGCACAGAACTTTTTTTTTTGGACCAAATTTAAGGTACTGTGGTTGGTCTTGTTATTGTTAGCTTTTTAATAATAATATTATGATGTAGAAAAAATACAGTAAATTATTTGACTACTGGACCTTTGTCCAG